TTGATGCCGTACAGGGACTTCAGCAACTGACAGACTTGGTTAGGCTCTCCGTTGGAACCGTGTGGGAGTTCGACGAAGATTTCGGCGTCAACAGGTGCGTAGAGAAATGCATTGGCGACGTCAATTTGTCGCAGCTTCTTCTTCTTCATGGCGGCGATCGCGAGAAGAATCCGAAGTGAAGTGTGTCGGCTGACCGGCGCGAATGTTTCGGTGAAGTCCCGTCCATGCTCTTGGTCGAAGCCACGCACGACCCATCGCGCTTTAAACTTGTCGATGGTGCCGTCTGCCTTTGTCTTCACACGGAAGACCCATTTCCCGGTGAGTACTGTCTTGTTTCGTGCCACGCCGATGGGAACAACTTTCCAAGTGTTGCGTTCCTCCAGTGCTTTCAGCTCCCTGTCCATGGCTTCGCGCCATTTTTCCCTATGCTCCCCCCCCAGAGCCTACTGAACCGTGGCAGGCTCCTTAGGAAGCGCGACGCCGTGGACCGCGGTGACGAGGCCGAGTATCTGGAGACCACTCTGTGTGTAGCGGGGGAGTGTTGTGTCCTCGGGATAAGCTGCTTCGTCACCTGCTTCTGGGTCAGGTATGAAATTGGGCCCTATGTGTTCTGCTTCGTTGGTGTTGACTCTTGCAGGTGTAACGTAACCGTTGTCGGCGAAGTGGTAAAATACTTCTGCGTTGACGCTTTCGCGAGGATTTTCGTCATCCATTGGGACGTCGACGGAGCAATAAGGGAGAGGTCCGGCTTCCTCCGAGGCTTCATCCACGTTCTGCTCGTCCCAGTCAGCTTCGTCTGCTGCCGAGGCGAAGGCTCGGTCCCCACGAAATCCGCCTGTGACATCACGTGAAGTGTCCAAGTTGTACAGGTACGTTGAAAGGGTGAGGCGTTCGTAGAAGATGACATCACGTGCTGCTACTGTTTCCTTTGAGTGGACGTCGAAAATCTTCCACGCGTTGTAATTCTTTTCAATGCCCAGGTGTAGTCCCCACTGTGCGCGTTGTGAGAATCGGCCAGCGCGTGCAGCTGGGGGTCGGTATTGTACCATGCAGCCGGAATTTCGCAACATTTTTGTGCTGCCCAGTTTTCGTGTCCACAGCAGATGGGGTGATGCGTTGTTCGGGAGCGATGATGACGAAAGTAAGTTGTGCAGCATCACGGCGTGGTCCATTGCCTCGGGCCACTGGTGGTTGGGTAGCCGCATGCCACGTAGCAGCTTGCGCATGGTGTTCTGAAGGGTCCTGTTCATTCTTTCTGCTACGCCTTGCTGTTGGTGTGCGTAGGGAAGAGAGATGAGCCGCTTGATTCCTCTTTCTGCCAAGTACTGCTTGAACCTCTGTGAGGTGTATTCTCCTCCCCCGTCAGACTGGAAGCTCTTTAGCTTAACTCCCGATTCTCGTTCTGCTACTGGGAGCCAGGCAACGAAGGCTTCGAAGGCCATGTCACGGCTTGAAAGGTTGAGATGCCAGACATAACGAGTGGCGGCGTCGATGAACGTGATGGTGTAGTTGTATGCTTCTTGACCGGGTTCGCGATTGTAAAGTATATCGCTGTAGACCTTCTCCAAAGGTGCGTACGCTGGTGCACTTGGGTTGTGATGGGAAACGAAGGGCTGATGCGGTAAGTCAGCTTCTGGGCAAGTGAAGCAAGTTCCTCGCATTTGTCGAAGTTCTCTGCCGTCGGGTAAGAGTAGTGAATCTTTGTCAAGAACGCCTGCTCGTATCGTATTGTTTAACGTCGTGTTGCTCGGATGTCCCATTCGTGTATGCCAGAGATCTTCGTCGGCGCGATGTCCGGGTGAGCGTCGGTATAAGTCGGAGTTGGAATAGAAGCTTGCAGTGAAATTTGCGCTTCGATGGACTTCCCGTGGTATCGGATTTAGTTGCTGCGCAGGAGTCGGTGGAGTGTCGTCGTCGATTGGGGCTGGTGCAGTTGAAGGACCCGCGATTGGTGCCGATGTTGTCTCTGCTGCTGCTGGTGTTGTCTCTGCTGCTGCCGATGTTGTCTATGCTGCTGCCGATGTTGTCTCTGATGCTGCCGATGTTGTCTCTGCTGCTGCCGAGTGTTGAATCGTTGCTAATGCTCTTGTTCGTTCTGCCTCAGGAATGGTGTGCGAATACCAGAAACCTTCGGGGCTGAAGTCACGATCAAGATCCGGTGGGTGCGTCCAGGAGGTGAAGGTGACGATTCCGTCGCTGTCAGCGGTGCCAAGATCTGGGACGAAGTCGAGGACGAAAACGTTATTTTTCAGGATCGCCTTCCCGATGTAGAGACCGCCCTTCCCGTGGTATAACTTGAATTCCTGTGTTGTGCTGTCTGCTTCGAGGTGGACGCCTTTCGCCATCAGCTGACTGACGCTCAGTAAGTTGTAGCCGAGTCCCTCCGCAATTAACACTTTTGACATTTGCAGTATTACGTTTGTCTCTCGTGACTGAAGTTGCACCACACCTTGTCGTCGTGTGCGCAGGCTCTGGTTGTTGGCGACGGTGATGACGACTTCGCGTTGAAGTTGGTGTTCGCGTTGAACGAAGCGTCCTGAAGAGCACATGTGCTGTCCGCAGCAACTGTCCAAGAACCACGTATCTTTCCCGGACGGCTCGCTTTGAGCGATGGCTGCATACGTCGGATTCGGCTCCAGTGTCTCGCGGCGAGTAGTGCGTTCTTCGAGTTGTTCTTCTGGTGAATAGTATGGTGGTGATTCAGTGATGCAGGAGTCTGACAATCTTGCCATGCAGCTGACGATGTTTCTTGCTCCTTGTGCAGATTGTGTTGACGACGATGTCGTTGAGGATTGCAGTTGACTTGTGGGGTTTGCTTGCGTGGACGCTACTTGACTGCTCGAAGGACGAAGTTGGCGCTGCGGCGGCGTTGACTGCTGTCGATTCAGGCAGTGTGTGCGAGGGTGTCCTGAAGTTTTGCAGAGATGACAAAACGGAGGTACGGGTTTTGGTTGATGCCGGTTGTTGTTGTTGTTGTTGTAGCGCCGTTGAGTGAAAAACGCGAATTCGGGTACTGACGTTTTCTTCTTGTGTCGCTCCTCTTGCAGGTCCATGTCTTGCTGTTCGGCGTGAATTTCGGCGCAGAGTGCTGCTTCGGAGATCTTCCCGTGAGCTCGGAGTATGGCGCGAGTGGAGCGCCAGTGTGGACCAAGACCGCCGATAACAATTGTGACGAAGGCGACTTCTGATATTGATCCTCCACATCGAAGGAGTTTGTCGCGCAATTCGCGACAGCGACTGATATACGCCATTCCCTTTTCGCCTGGTTTCATTTCCACTGTTGTCAGTTGCGCCATTAACCGACTCTGGTTGACGCTGTCTGTTGCCTGATACAGATTCTTCAGGTGGTTGTACGCAAGCTCGGCGGAATTTCCGTATCCTCGGTAAGACCGAATGTTCTGCTGCTGGTTCGGTGTGACGTTGCGCAGTAGGATTGTATACGCCATCATGGATTGATACGTATACTGCTGCTTGTCGTATTGTGTCCCGTGTGTTGGATATGGCAGGGACCCGTCGAAGAAGCCAAGAATCTGCGCGCCTTCCATCATCAGCTCGAATTCGAACGACCAGGTAAAGAAGTCCTTTCCGTCAAATGGTCTTGATGTCTGCAGTTTTAAGACGTGCGCAAACTGCGACTGAACTTGAAGTGGATCCAATGTCTTCTCTTGCTCAGGTGAAGGCTGCTGGCGCGGGCATGAAGCTGACGGAACCACGCTGGGGTTCATACGGGGCGAAGGTAGGTTGCTGTTGCTGATTTCCTCGCGCGTAGGATGAACCATCGAGGCTCATCGGTGTCACATCGTTGTTGTTGTTGCTGTTGTTTGACTGCGCAGGTGCCCCTTGCTGGTGTTGTTCGTAGAAGGACATGAAGGAGAAGAACTTCTCCATCATGCTTGGGTCGAAGACCGCAGCTTGATTTGCGGGAGTTTCAGTAGACCCAGCTGCCGGTCTTGTTGCTGTGCCCTCCTCTGTCTGTAGACCAGAGGCAGGAGGTGGAGTAGGAGTAGTACCGGGAGAACCATTAGAGGAACTCCTTTCCTTCTGAGTAGCCATGCTTTCTGATGTTGTAGGTGTCTTGATAGTGGAATTTGTCCTGACTGCTCTCATACCATGTTGGGCTGAGAAAAAGCCCTTAGGATCTTTGCAGGACTAAACTCTGGGTAGGAACAATGTAATAGCGGAAGCGTTTAGTGAGAAAGTTGTGAACCACCTTGCGCTGGTATGTGAGGGCAAAGTAGATTGATTAAAGCAAAGAGATACAAGCTTTTATAAGAGTACAAGGAATACAAAGAGATACAGTTAATAACCGTTTTACTATTGCTGTTGCGGTTCGATACAGTGACGACTCGGGCAACTGCTCAATGACGAGTCAGCTGTTTGTCCTTGCTGTCGCGCTGTACTTGTCAGGTCAAAGGTCGCTGACCTTTGACTTTTCGCGTAACCTCCAGCAGTTGCTCAACCTCCGAGGGTTGACTCGCTGATGCTTCGCTGTGTTTCGCTTCGTTTATGACTTAGTGTTTCGACACGACAGAGCGCTTAAATCACTTGTTTCCAACAGTGTTCACTACACGACACAACGTTCCGCGTTCACTCCTCTGATGACGTGGCGCACGTCGGCACATGTGCACGCTTTGCGCATAGAAAGGCTGATAGCGCTGCCCTAGAGAGGGTCAAAATTAAATGTCAGAGGTCAACAATCTGCCCCTTAATATAACCGACCGCAACACAGAATAAGAAAATCTGCCATGTATAACCTCTCTTAGACCCTTAGTACTTATAAGTGTTTCCTATTTCAAATGTTTCACATCCTTACAGATCGTGTACCACTGTTAAACGGAGTGAGACTAGGTTCAACATAGGCTCCGAAGTGTACACCATCTTACTCAACCACAAATTAATTTTCAACCTTTGCGGTCACTAACACCTACTTGACAGCGCCGCCAGATCTCTTCCATATCGCTTCAGAAGAAGCTTCTAAGAATTCTCAAAAAGTCGCCCGGTTACGATGAGAGGAGGGGCGAGGAGGCCATGGGTGGGGAGAGGGGGCGCCCCCCCGAGAAGGCAGCAGCTGCTCAGAAATGGCTTGACGGCAAGGAAGGCATGCGTAGGGAGGTCCCTGCTGAATGGCCTTGTTATTGCCTTGAAGTCGATTGGTTACCAAGAGAGGCGGGGGAGGGAGGGCACGGGTGGGGAGAGAGGGCCCCGAGGAATGCCCTTGATTTTCCTTTGAAGATGCCTAGTTTGAGAGGCGGGGTGAGGAGGGGATGGGTGGGGAGAGGGCCCTGGGGTGGCAGCAGCTGCTCAGAAATGGGTTGACGACGAGGGGGGGATGAGTAGGGAGACAGGTTCCCGCGAAATGGCCTTGATTTTGCCTTGAAGTTACGAGAGGCGGGGCGAGGAGGGTATGGGGGGGGAGAGAGGGCCCCGCGGCGACAGCAGCGGCACTGAGATGGCTTGTCGCCACCTGGAGGTGACCTGAGCGGAATGAGGGGGGAGAGGGAGTGAGATTGGGAGGAGGGGTGAATGGAGAGGAGGTGGTTAAGAGACAGCACTGAAATGGGTGGGTTCACGCACCTGGAGGTGACCTAGTCGGGAAAGAGGAGTGAGAGGGTGAAAGAGGAAACGAGGGGGGAGAGAGTACGCAGAGGGAGCGGGGGGCGGGGGGGGGGAGAGTGAGCGGGGGGGAGGAAGGAGGAGGGGAGGAGGCATGGAAGGGGGGGTTGAGGGGGGGGGGGGGGGGGGGGGAGAGTGGAGATAAAGAAGAGAAAGAGAGGGAAGTTGCAATAACATGGTTTCTGTGTTGCCCCCAAGAAGCAAGGGAAGAGGTGAGGTGAAGGGGGTTCATATAGGGTGAAGAGAATGTGGGAGGTTTGAAGGTGTGGAAAGTACAAAAAACAAACTATTTTCCAGATGGCATGAATGTGGGAGGTTTGGGGGGCAGGAGGGAGAGGGGGGGAGGAGAGGAGGAGGGGGGAGGGGGAGAGGGGGGGGGGGGTGGGAAGGAGGAGCGAATGTGAAGTTGTTGGGGGATTGTGGGAAGGAGGGAGGAAGATGTGTGATTGTCAACGGTGGTGGATACACATGCTGCAAGTTTGTACACAATGCACAAACGTAACAACGCACATGGCATTTGTAACAACAGTAAGATCAGCATTCAGTAACCCAGTTACCTTGAAGAGAGTGAGAATGCCAAGGGTGGTCACACGTGTTTTCAATTTGTTACAACTGCATGAAAGTAACAGCGCAAGTGGCATTAGTGGATGGTAACCCGGTTACCTTGAAGAGAGTGAGAATGCCGAGGGTGATTACACATGCTGCCACCACCACTGCTGCAAATAGACTCAGCTCCCTACCCTCCTGTGAGTGCACATACACACACATGCACACACACACACATGCACACACACACACACACACACACACACACATGCACACACACACACACACATGCACACACACACACACACGCACACGCACACACACACACACATGCACACACACACACACACACACACACACACTCACACACACACACACAGGCACACATGCACACACACACACACACACACACACACACACACAGGCACACGCACACACACACACGCACACACACACACGCGCACAATGGCACATGCGAATACAAGTACACATACACAGATAGACGCATGCACACACACACGCTCATGCACACACACACGCTCATGCACACACATTCACTCATGCACACACATACACAGATAGACGCATCACACACATACACAGATAGACGCATGCACACACACACGCTCATGCACACGCAGTTGCACTCCCCCCCCCCCCCCCCCCCCTCCCCCTCTCTTCACACACACACATGGGCAGAAAGAGTGACAGGCACACGCTGCATGAACATCAGCTTAATCAAATTTAAAATTAAGAACATAATCGACGACGACGATGATGATGATTATAATGATGATGATGCCTCTGTACACACACCTGCCCTCTCCACCCCTCTCCACCCTTCAACGCCCCTCGACGCCCCTCTTCACCCTTCTCCACCCCCCTCCACCCCCCTATATCCCTCTACACCCCTCTCTACTCCTCTCAACCCCTCTCCACCGCTCTACACACCTCGTCACTGTCGCCGATGACAATGAGGAAGAAGAGGAAGACCATGGAGGCGAGGGTGGCGCAGATGGTGCAGAACTCAGCATAGAACGAGATGGATGCATAGGAGCACAGCCGCTCCCAGGTGAGATCTAGCCCTGACAATGGGGGGGAGACAAGGGGGGGGTGGGGGAGGGGGATAGAGTGCACAGCAGATGGTGCAGAACTCGTTGTAGAATGAAATGGACGCGTACGAGCACAGCCGCTACCAGGTGAGATCTAGCCCTGAGAATGGGGGAAAGGGAGGGGGGGGAAACGGGGGGGAGAGGAGAATGGGGATAAACAGGGGGACGGGATACTGGGTGAGGGAATGGGGGATAAACAAGGGGGAATGAGGAAAAGCAACAGGGATGGGGGATAAACGGGGGGGAGAATGAGAAATACAGGGGGAAATGCGGAAAAACTGATAACTGGAGGGCGGGAAGGGAAAACAGGGGGGCGGGGGGGGGGGGGGGGGGGAGGGGGGGAGAAGGGGGAGAGGGGGAGGGGCGGGGGGAAAGGAGGAAGGATATGGGGGACGGAGTCGGGGAGGGGGGCGGGGAATAAGTCACTCCCGAGGGGCCTAAAGGAAACATGAAGAATGGGAAAGATGAGAGACACTTCCCCCTACCTTCCCCACTTCCCCTTTCCTCCCCCCCCTTCCTCCCCCCGTTTCCTTCCCCGCTTCCCGCTTCTTTCCCCCCCTTCCTTCCCCACGAGGTACTGTAGAGCGACTCACTCTCGTGAATGCGGAGGCGGTACGGCGAGCGGCACACTTCGCACGTGAGCGCGTCGTGATCGCAGCCGTCCATTCGCCGCCGCTCGATCCACTGCTGCAGGCACCGTAGATGCACGCGCCCCATCGTGCCCCCGCACGCGCACGGCTTCACCATCCGCGCCCCCCGCGCCTCCGCCCGCCGCGCCTCCGCTCCCCGCGCTTCCGCCCCCCGCGCCTTCTCGCCCCCCTCCGCCGCCGCCGCCTCTCCCCGCGGAAATTCGTCAAGGCTCCCCGGCGCTCCCCGCCCGCCCCTTGCCCCCTCCCCCGCCTCCGCCCCCGCCCCCGCCCCCGCCCCGCCAGTGTTGATTCTAAGCCCGAGATCCTCTGGGGATAAGTACTCTTCTTCGCGGCAGAAACGGCACTCAACTAAAAGCAGGTCATCAGCTAAGAGCCGGTCGGAACTGCAGCTGTGTCCGAGCCGACCTTCCTCCAACAGGGAAACTGAAAGTGCGGCATCGCCGAGCCTACTACTATCCTCGCCGAGCCTGTCTGTACTACCGAGCCGGGAGGCTCGGAACCCCTGGATGTCCTCCGGGGGAGGTTCGCTAGCTAGTCCGATTTGCCGAGCCTCAGGCTCGGAGATGCGAGATTCTAGTGCGTCGCTACTAGTAACTAAGTGAACATCAGCAGACGAGTCCCTATGAGTGCTCCAAAGACTGTCCCTAACAGTCTCGCTATTCGTTACCGCAGGTTCGGAACTTCTTACTATCGGAGCAGACAATAACGAGGCTTCATCTTGCGAACTGATGCGAGCCAGAAGATGAGCCGGCTCGACTGCCGTCGCCGTCGGTGCGGCCGTAGCGGCTGTCGCGTCGGATGCTGTAGCGGTTGGTACTGTTGCGAAAATCGACGCGCGATGTGGGTCTGACATGGCAGAAGAAAAATCGCAGCCGAAAAAGCGTCGCGAAAACAAGGAGGACGACAGCGAGAAAACGAAAAGCAGGACCAAGACGAACTCAACGTAGCATTGAATCGAATCCTCTAGTTGACAACACTAGTACTATAATAGCAGCACCACTAAAATGTCTACTCGGATAGATTAGTTGAGGGAAATGTGGAACGAGGACGGAAATGCGGTTTTGCGCCGAGGCTAGGTAACAGGGTATGGGTTGGGCGTGCGGAACGAGAAAGCACGAGAAAGTCGAGGAGGAGAGGTAGGGGAAGGGAAGGTTGGGAAGGCGGTGCGAACGAATGCACTGTGCTTCCACTCACCTAACAAAATGCTAGCTGGTAGGACTGGTGGGGCATGCGATCAGAACGAACCAGAACCAGCAGAGAGCCCACTCAGAAGCTCTCTAAAATCGAAGCTTAAGTAAGTATTTTGTTATTAAAATCCCAACGTGGCGGAGCCAGCGTTTCCAGTGAGGGGAGGTGAGCCATCACGCGAGGACGACATGCGCGCTATAGCGACGCGGCAAAATCGGTGGATTTCTCGAATGCTGGGAAATCGTAGCAACCTCGCATTACAATAACAAATTATTCCTTCACCTCACGAGGACTAATACATCAACCAACCAACCGAGCCAGAGTAACACCAATTAAGCTTAGCTCATTAGCAATAATATGGCATTACAACAAAAGCATTGAAAATAAAAATCTGACTATTCTGACCAGAAAATTGCCATTAAAAACAAAATGTGTGAACACAAAGCAGATAAGGGAATATGTACGCAAGATGGAACAAGCAGCTAAGTTGTGCCAGGACTAAGCCACGGTCCCACAGGACACAAGCAAAAATAGCATTTTTCACCCCAAGATCTGCTTCAGCATGTTGAGAATATCAGGCTGCGAATTCTCCCCCACGGTGCCCTCCTCTCCCACTCCGCTGTCCTTCACCGCGCCCAAACCACCCGAACCATCCTCAATCTCGTCCGCAACGAAGCTCCTTCGCTTGGACAAGGGCCGAACCACCACGCCTTCCATTGACAAGTGGCTTGCCTCCATGGAAACCCCATCTGCAGCTCCACCTGCTTCCATCACCATCAGCCCCTCAAACTCACCCTCCCCTCGACTCCGCTTCGGGGACCGAACCTGCTTCCTTCGCTGTGCTCTATTCTTCTCCTGCCCTTGCTCCTGCTGGCGCTGCTGCTGGTGTGCCTTAGTCGCCCATAATGGTTGCTGGAACTGCCTACTGATTTGTCCTGCACCACCATCCTTCCCTTCACTGCACGCTTGCGCCGAGCCTGCTTCCGAGCCTGCTGGCCTCGCACCTGAGTCACTAGGCTGGGCAACTGCCGAGCGTAGCAGCAGCTCGGTGAGCTCGGTCATCATCTCGGGCGGCAGGGGAGGGGAGGAGAGCATGGAAAAACGGTCTGATGCAATCGCTGCTGCAGCGGTGGATAGATGCAGCAGCTGCTGCTGCTGCTGCTGCTGCCCCTGCTGCTGCTGCCCCTGCTGCTGTTGTTGCAGACATTGCTGGTGTGGGAGCTGGGGTATTGCAAGGTCTGCCCCAACAGGACCATCGCCAGCAGCAAAGCGCACTGCCTCTGCATCTGCACAGTCTGCGTCTGCAGCAACTACTGACTGAGCAGCAGCAGCAGCAGCAGCAGCAGCAGCAGCAGCAGCAGCAGGGCCGGCCACTTCCCCTGCAAATTCACCATCGCTTGCAGAGGCAGTGAGGAGGGTGTGAGTGGTGTTAGTGCATGGGGAACTCAGCTCACTGCCGCTCTCACTGCCACAGCCACTGGCCTGTGCGGCACTCTCGCCCTCGCGAAACCGGACCCTTGAATCAGCGCCTGTTGGAGCAGAGCCAGAAGCACCAGTGCCAGCACCGGCACCAGTACCGGCAGCAGCATCATCAGAAGCACCAGCGCCAGCAGCAGCAGCCACAACGGCAGCCGTCCAGGCGTTGGCAGTCCCACAATCAGCCCCTGTGGGAGCGGGAGTGCCGAACCTGAACGGGCTGTCGAAAAAAGACAAGTGACCGCTGCCATTGCCAAACGCTGAAAAACCACTGTAACCCCCGAAGTTACCAGCCCCCAAATTACTGACCCCAACGCCAGGGCCCAAGCTGGAAAAAACTGAAATATTACCAGCAGCACCCGCACCATCACCCCCAGCCGCAGCATTACCAGCAGCAACGGTGACATCGCCAGCAGCAGCAGCAGCAGCGGCAGCAGCACCAGCAGCAGCGCCACCAGCAGCACAACCAGCAGCAGTAGCAGCGTCAGCAGCAGCCCACCAGCCAGTAGCAGTCAGGTCCATAGGCGTCATCAGGGTTTCCAGCCCAAGGAGATCCCGAGGCATGCCAGGAGTGGTCAGTGTGGAGGACGGGGTTGGCACGGCCAGGAAAGAGTCAAGCAGCGGAGAAGTTGACTTTTGAGTCGACTCAAAAGTCAAAGAGTCAGGCAGGGGAGTGGTTGCCGGCGGGGTGGTGGGCCTAGAGGGATTGTGAGACGGACCGGCTGAGTTTGCCTGGGTGCCAACGCGTGGGGTTAGAGCAGGGGAGCTTGTGTATTGGCCTGGCTGTTGCCCCTGCTGTCGTTCTTTCTGTTGCTCCTGCTGGTGGTTCTGTTGGTGCGGCTGCTGCAGGCCCTGGCTTGAAGGGTTGTGTGGGGCGATGAGGTCCTCCAGAGGCTCAATCTCGGCAGCGTTTGACCGCTGCAGGCGACGTAGCATGGGCCTTGCCTGGTTCTCATGTTGCTGGACCTGGTTGTGCTGCTTCTCGGATGCTTCCCCAGCAGCGGCCTGAACGTCTGCCGTTTCTTCTCCATGCAGCACCACGCCCTGCGTCTCTTGAACCCCCTCATACCGCCCTGTCCCTTGTGCCTCCTCATTCTGCTGCATCTGCTGTTCCTGGCACGCGGGAAACACGCTTGTCGTGGCTGCTGGGTCCGTCTGCCAAGAGAGAATACTTGCAGGCCCATCGTTCTCTCTCTGCCCTGACACATACTCGGCAAGAAGCTTCGAAAAGGCCTCTGCGGATTCATTTCCTCCACCTCCCTGGCCGCTTTCCTGTCCACTCTCCAACCCTCTTTCCTGCCCGCTTTTCTGCCCGTTTTTCTGCCCGCTTTCCAGATGCGCCTCTGTGCTGCGCTCGGTCTCCCCAACTTGCCCATGGCTCTCCTCCATAACAGCGGATTGCGCCAAGCTTTGCGCTCTTGCAAGTCTTGAAATGTGTCTGTCAGGATTCGAACCCAGGCCTGCAGTTACGTCGGATGGTAAAGAATTGCCCCTTGGGGTTGCCAGCGAGTTGAACCGCGTCAGGCTCGACATCGCTCCAACCAAGAAGCCCGAATTCAGCCGGTTCGCCAAAGTTACCGAACCTGTGGAACCTCCTCCAGCCTGGTCCGCGTCACCCGCAGTGGCGTTCTTGAAACCCACAGTGGTTACTTTCGAAGGTGCATCGATTAGAAATTGGTTGGAAGAATCTCCGATTGCTACAGTAACTGCCCGGTCGATTGCGCGAGGCCCTTTTCTAAGAGCTTGCGCAGCTGCGCTTTGAAGCACAGGCAGGGGCCCGGAGTGTGACGACCGGGCAGAAAAAAGTTTTCGAAGGCTGTTGAGAGCTGACCCAGGCGCAGGCCCGAGGGTTCCGACTGTGAGGCCAATTCCGCCTGCACCAGAAGTGGCGGAAGCGGAAGCTCCTGCGGAAACAGCGGCGTTTGCGGAGGGTTGGCGCGGACTAATGGGAAAGTGAACCTGTGGAAGAGGCAGGCGCGGGGACTCGAGTGGAGACTGCGGAACCGAGCCCCCTCCCGCCGTCTCCGTGCTCGGCCCAGCGCTTGGCGGAAAGCTTCCGCTGCCGCCAGAGTCCAAAATCATCTCCTGCTGTTCAGGCCCTTCCTCTGGTTCCGCTTTTGCAGCTCTTCTCGCTTTTCCCGCCGATTTTTCCGCATGCGCCTGGAGCGCGTGGCCCAAGCCCCCAGGCGCTGTTAGTCTCCCCCCGCTGCTTCCGCCGCCCTGCCCAGGCTGCGCCTGCTGCGGAAGCGCTCCGCGCGTGTACACGCGCACGACCACCCACTGCGACAAGGTCATTCCCGACGGGCCGCTTGCGCTCTGCCAGCCCGACGCGGACGGGGACGGCGGCGCGGCGATGGTGACGTCAGCGCTGCCGGCGGAATTGGCGGCCGGTAGCATTAGGCTGGCGATGTCGTCGGAGCTGTCTGGTAGGCGGTACTCCTGCATCACCCAGTCCGTCTTCTCGCCGGCTGGCGCACGCCCGCTGAGGGGAATTGGAAAACAGGGGGGATGGGGAATGAGGGGGGCGGGGAGAAACGACAGGAAAATATCGTGTAAGAAACTTTACGCTTGTCGCTCAGTGAAAGAAAGGGCCCTTGCGAGTGGCTAACAACATGCGGAAGACGTGCGCTAATGCGACGACGCTCCTGCCAGCGAGAGCTTCTAGCGTCATTTCTCCGCGAAACCCTAATCAAATTGGGACCGGAGGGGCGGGGAGGGGGAGGGAATCAAACAAAGCCAATTTTCACAAATTGAAGAAATCGAGCGTCAAAATGACACTTCAACCGTCGAACCAATTGGAATTGGATGGTACGACGAGTGGTTTCAATTCAATCAAACTTCAAACTCGCTACACCATGAAACGCGAGTCGTACCGATAGAAAACGAGCGTCTTTTTGAAGCCAATAACCGTCGTCGCGCCGGAACCTCCACCTCCACCGCCACTGCTCGAGCCCCCTCCTCCTCCTCCGCGATTCGCGGCGAACACGGGCCGGTCCTTCCCGGTCGCCTTCCAATACCCCGCAGGCGTGGCGCGATTCGACCGCAGCCCGGACGGGTATTTCCGGTCGCGCGGCGTGAAAAAGAACCACTCGTCGTTTCCCATTAGAGGACTCGATGCGCGCGACGGGAGATCCCAAGGTTCAAATTTGTACAAGTCGATGTCGCCCATCACATTGAAGCTTATGCGACGGTTGTCCACGCGTCGCCGAAGGTAATAACACAGAAGCTCTTCGTCCGTCGGGTGGAAGCGAAACCCGGGTGGTAACATGCTGTCGTCGTCGTCATCGCCGTCGTCCGTCGCAATCGCAGGCGTCGCCTCAATCGCCGCGGAAGGAGGCGGCGCGACGGGTGACAGCAGTGGCGGGGGTTGCGGCGAGTCGGGCTGCGGCGGCTGTTGCTCCCAGTCGGGCGCTGGTGGAAATATCCCCAGTCTGGCTGGCACCATGGGAAGAGTTAAAGTCGCCAGGTTGATACGCTTCGCGCCGTCGCGAAGGGTGGGAAAAATAGACGCAATTCTGCAGTTTTTTTTTTTTTCGTCTCTTCGTCTGCCGGAATTTTGCGACGGCGTGTAAATTAAAGTCTCAGTAGTTTCAATAGTTGGCCTGCTCTGTGATTTGTTAACGTCGACGGTGGCAAACCGAGGTTTTCAACGTTTATATATAAAATGACGGCTTTATACGGCTGGGCAGGGCGCTGCGGGAGCACGAGGCGCGATTGGCACTTTGTAGGGGGTAGTCTCCTTCGACTTTCCGAAATGTTGCGTGCGATTAAAGCAAGACCACGAGGTAGGTGGGAGGACGGTGAGAGAATTCGGAAATCGTGGGGGAACGAGTGGGACCCGCAGAGAGGGAGTGGCGAGGCGACTATTCTATTCTATTAGTCGTGTAGTGCAGTTGGTAGCAACATCCAGGAGAGAAAGATTGAGTGTGTCGGAGTGAGAAACTTGAATCGTCGGACACCCTTCTTTTCCAGTCTGGAGCCAGTTGGCCGACCGTGTCTTGCGCAAATCGCGATTGTGTGGGTGGGTGCTAGCGGCAGCTCTGACTTGCACTTTGCTGTGTTGGAAGGAAAAGAACTCGACCCCATCCTTATGAACAGTCACTGTTTAGGGAGGTGACTGAAGCACACAAAGCCAGAGTCTCAGAGTGAGCTGGGAGCCTGTGAGCGGCTCTCACACCCCGCAGCAGCGTCGGTCGGCTGATGGGATGGAGAGAGTGAGCCGCGGGACAGGGGCCCACTCACATCACAGGTGGCGGCAGGACGGGGGATGCTGAGGAGACAGGAAACGGGAAGGCGATGAGAAGGTGGATGGACGCCCCTGAAGGGAGAGCAGCAGCAGCAAGCAGAAGTGACGACGAGATGAGATTGGAGATGAAAGTATTGTTTTTTAATACCACCCTCCACAACCCAACCACTGTAAATAAAACATGTTCCCTCAACCAAGTTTGAATCAAAGGAAGGATTGTGTGCCAGTCAACCTACATTCGAAAGTGTAGGAGAACCAGTAGGGCAGGGAATTTAGGAACTGTGAACCGCTAAAACTGGGGCAGCCGATCATCCAGCACACGAAGCCATCAGGTGGGCGGACAGGAAGGGCGCGAAGGGTGGACGTTGAAAGGGGAAGTTTGATGGGGGGCGCCAGGCAGGTTTCCATCACATGGGAGAAGGGGGGAGGGCAAAGGGTGGGGGAGGAACGTTTCCGCATCTTGGCAGTTCTGCCCAGCCGGTGCCAGTTGGGGCTGGGGTTGGGGGGGAGGATGAGCGGAGCCGGGATTGGGATTGGTTTGGGGTTGCAGGTGCTGCGGAAGGAGAGAGGGGCCAAAAGGGACGGAACGACGGGAGAGGAGAACACTCTTCCATACCGACAAATGCTTCAACATCAGTCAACATTTTTCAGCCACCCAGGAGTATGCCAGACAGCGTCAGCCATCCTCAGTGAAGCACCCGTGCAGAGATGATGACGTTGCGGGTTTTGAAGGGCGCCGCCAATCGCACCTCTCAAGCAAGGCAATCTTGGGCAGACAAATACACACACTCGCGCCTTTAGAATATACCTTCCAAAAGTTCAAGCAGGCAAAACCATTTTAGTGCGAAAGTGGGTGTAGTTCTCTCTGTACATTGTAGCAACATTTGGACGGAACACGTCTAATGACTGACCGTGAACACTTCGATTATTATGTCAGCATTTGAATGGATCGCTCCTCGCAACTTCCACTCCCCTTGGCGCCTCGCAGCGATCAGTCTAGCAACCACGTGCGATATCAGCTCGAACGCAATATGCTGCAAACTGCATGATGGCGTGTACAAGCTGTTGTTTTCTACCTCAGGATTACCGTAAGAGTATTATTCCATAAAGAATTCCCATGTATGCAGAACGAGGATATGGCTACAATGATGTGCAGAAATACTATTCGCCCCACTTTATTCAATAATGGTGAACAAAAATGTTTATACTGCCCCAATGTACAACCTATAAGATTCCCCACTTTAGTTCCAGTGTAGTACACAGGCGAGACAAGCAAGTGGCTGCGCTTAGTGGGTATTCCGAAACTGAAGGGGTGGGGTAACAGACGAGAGGTAAGAAGGGCAAACAGGAAACGAGAGAGAAGCGGACAAGCAAAACATTACTAAAATAACGGAAGAGGGGAAAGGAACCGGGGCAGCAGACGATGAAAGAAAAGAGATGAGATGCAAGAGACGCGATAAAAGAGAAGGCTAGATGTGTCCACATCTGCGCAATCCCATGCCATCCATTAACAAACCAACTCAACAGCAATCATCCTTCCTTCCCCATAGTCACTGCTGAAGTCACTATAGCCGTGACCCCCATCCTTCCTCCCCCCTCCCCTTCCACCACACACACTCCATTCACGCTGCCATCCATGCCTTCCCCCTCCGCCCCTCTTCCCCAGCCCCACCTCACCTCTCCCCTCCACTCACCTGCAATCATCTCATCCACATAGTCACTGCTGATGTCACCACTAGCCATTGCCCCCACCTGTTATGCCACAAAGTAGGACCAAGGGGGGGGGATGGGCAAAGGAACGCATACTACTTTGGGGCGCCTAAAAACAAGGCCTACTAATGTCACCACTAGCCATCGCCCCCACCACCTGTTGCACCACAATGTTGGACCAAGGGGGAGGGAGAAAGGAGATGTATACAATACTATAAGCACAGCATGGCTTTTGAGTCGACTCAAAAGTCACAATGTTGGACCAAGGGGGAGGGAGAAAGGAGACGTATACAATACTATAAGCACAGCATGGCTTTTGAGTCGACTCAAAAGTCACAATGTTGGACCAAGGGGGAGGGAGAAAGGAGACGTATACAATACTATAAGCACAGCATGGCTTTTGAGTCGACTCAAAAGTCACAATGTTGGACCAAGGGGGAGGGAGAAAGGAGACGTATACAATACTATAAGCACAGCATGGCTTTTGAGTCGACTCAAAAGTCACAATGTTGGACCAAGGGGGAGGGAGAAAGGAGACGTATACAATACTATAAGCACAGCATGGCTTTTGAGTCGACTCAAAAGTCACAATGTTGGACCAAGGGGGAGGGAGAAAGGAGACGTATACAATACTATAAGCACAGCATGGCTTTTGAGTCGACTCAAAAGTCACAATGTTGGACCAAGGGGGAGGGAGAAAGGAGACGTATACAATACTATAAGCACAGCATGGCTTTTGAGTCGACTCAAAAGTCACAATGTTGGACCAAGGGGGAGGGAGAAAGGAGACGTATACAATACTATAAGCACAGCATGGCTTTTGAGTCGACTCAAAAGTCACAATGTTGGACCAAGGGGGAGGGAGAAAGGAGACGTATACAATACTATAAGCACAGCATGGCTTTTGAGTCGACTCAAAAGTCACAATGTTGGACCAAGGGGGAGGGAGAAAGGAGACGTATACAATACTATAAGCACAGCATGGCTTTTGAGTCGACTCAAAAGTCACAATGTTGGACCAAGGGGGAGGGAGAAAGGAGACGTATACAATACTATAAGCACAGCATGGCTTTTGAGTCGACTCAAAAGTCACAATGTTGGACCAAGGGGGAGGGAGAAAGGAGACGTATACAATACTATAAGCACAGCATGGCTTTTGAGTCGACTCAAAAGTCACAATGTTGGACCAAGGGGGAGGGAGAAAGGAGACGTATACAATACTATAAGCACAGCATGGCTTTTGAGTCGACTCAAAAGTCACAATGTTGGACCAAGGGGGAGGGAGAAAGGAGACGTATACAATACTATAAGCACAGCATGGCTTTTGAGTCGACTCAAAAGTCACAATGTTGGACCAAGGGGGAGGGAGAAAGGAGACGTATACAATACTATAAGCACAGCATGGCTTTTGAGTCGACTCAAAAGTCACAATGTTGGACCAAGGGGGAGGGAGAAAGGAGACGTATACAATACTATAAGCACAGCATGGCTTTTGAGTCGACTCAAAAGTCACAATGTTGGACCAAGGGGGAGGGAGAAAGGAGACGTATACAATACTATAAGCACAGCATGGCTTTTGAGTCGACTCAAAAGTCACAATGTTGGACCAAGGGGGAGGGAGAAAGGAGACGTATACAATACTATAAGCACAGCATGGCTTTTGAGTCGACTCAAAAGTCACAATGTTGGACCAAGGGGGAGGGAGAAAGGAGACGCATACAATACTATAAGCACAGCATGGCTTTTGAGTCGACTCAAAAGTCACAATGTTGGACCAAGGGGGAGGGAGAAAGGAGACGTATACAATACTATAAGCACAGCATGGCTTTTGAGTCGACTCAAAAGTCACAATGTTGGACCAAGGGGGAGGGAGAAAGGAGACGTATACAATACTATAAGCACAGCATGGCTTTTGAGTCGACTCAAAAGTCACAATGTTGGACCAAGGGGGAGGGAGAAAGGAGACGTATACAATACTATAAGCACAGCATGGCTTTTGAGTCGACTCAAAAGTCACAATGTTGGACCAAGGGGGAGGGAGAAAGGAGACGTATACAATACTATAAGCACAGCATGGCTTTTGAGTCGACTCAAAAGTCACAATGTTGGACCAAGGGGGAGGGAGAAAGGAGACGTATACAATACTATAAGCACAGCATGGCTTTTGAGTCGACTCAAAAGTCACAATGTTGGACCAAGGGGGAGGGAGAAAGGAGACGTATACAATACTATAAGCACAGCATGGCTTTTGAGTCGACTCAAAAGTCACAATGTTGGACCAAGGGGGAGGGAGAAAGGAGACGTATACAATACTATAAGCACAGCATGGCTTTTGAGTCGACTCAAAAGTCACAATGTTGGACCAAGGGGGAGGGAGAAAGGAGACGTATACAATACTATAAGCACAGCATGGCTTTTGAGTCGACTCAAAAGTCACAATGTTGGACCAAGGGGGAGGGAGAAAGGAGACGTATACAATACTATAAGCACAGCATGGCTTTTGAGTCGACTCAAAAGTCACAATGTTGGACCAAGGGGGAGGGAGAAAGGAGACGTATACAATACTATAAGCACAGCATGGCTTTTGAGTCGACTCAAAAGTCACAATGTTGGACCAAGGGGGAGGGAGAAAGGAGACGTATACAATACTATAAGCACAGCATGGCTTTTGAGTCGACTCAAAAGTCACAATGTTGGACCAAGGGGGAGGGAGAAAGGAGACGTATACAATACTATAAGCACAGCATGGCTTTTGAGTCGACTCAAAAGTCACAATGTTGGACCAAGGGGGAGGGAGAAAGGAGACGTATACAATACTATAAGCACAGCATGGCTTTTTTAGTCGACTCAAAAGTCACAATGTTGGACCAAGGGGGAGGGAGAAAGGAGACGTATACAATACTATAAGCACAGCATGGCTTTTGAGTCGACTCAAAAGTCACAATGTTGGACCAAGGGGGAGGGAGAAAGGAGATGTATACAATACTATAAGCACAGCATGGCTTTTGAGTCGACTCAAAAGTCACAATGTTGGACCAAGGGGGAGGGAGAAAGGAGACGTATACAATACTATAAGCACAGCATGGCTTTTGAGTCGACTCAAAAGTCACAATGTTGGACCAAGGGGGAGGGAGAAAGGAGACGTATACAATACTATAAGCACAGCATGGCTTTTGAGTCGACTCAAAAGTCACAATGTTGGACCAAGGGGGAGGGAGAAAGGAGACGTATACAATACTATAAGCACAGCATGGCTTTTGAGTCGACTCAAAAGTCACAATGTTGGACCAAGGGGGAGGGAGAAAGGAGACGTATACAATACTATAAGCACAGCATGGCTTTTGAGTCGACTCAAAAGTCACAATGTTGGACCAAGGGGGAGGGAGAAAGGAGACGTATACAATACTATAAGCACAGCATGGCTTTTGAGTCGACTCAAAAGTCACAATGTTGGACCAAGGGGGAGGGAGAAAGGAGACGTATACAATACTATAAGCACAGCATGGCTTTTTTAGTCGACTCAAAAGTCACAATGTTGGACCAAGGGGGAGGGAGAAAGGAGACGTATACAATACTATAAGCACAGCATGGCTTTTGAGTCGACTCAAAAGTCACAATGTTGGACCAAGGGGGAGGGAGAAAGGAGATGTATACAATACTATAAGCACAGCATGGCTTTTGAGTCGACTCAAAAGTCACAATGTTGGACCAAGGGGGAGGGAGAAAGGAGACGTATACAATACTATAAGCACAGCATGGCTTTTGAGTCGACTCAAAAGTCACAATGTTGGACCAAGGGGGAGGGAGAAAGGAGACGTATACAATACTATAAGCACAGCATGGCTTTTGAGTCGACTCAAAAGTCACAATGTTGGACCAAGGGGGAGGGAGAAAGGAGACGTATACAATACTATAAGCACAGCATGGCTTTTGAGTCGACTCAAAAGTCACAATGTTGGACCAAGGGGGAGGGAGAAAGGAGACGTATACAATACTATAAGCACAGCATGGCTTTTGAGTCGACTCAAAAGTCACAATGTTGGACCAAGGGGGAGGGAGAAAGGAGACGTATACAATACTATAAGCACAGCATGGCTTTTGAGTCGACTCAAAAGTCACAATGTTGGACCAAGGGGGAGGGAGAAAGGAGACGTATACAATACTATAAGCACAGCATGGCTTTTGAGTCGACTCAAAAGTCACAATGTTGGACCAAGGGGGAGGGAGAAAGGAGACGTATACAATACTATAAGCACAGCATGGCTTTTGAGTCGACTCAAAAGTCACAATGTTGGACCAAGGGGGAGGGAGAAAGGAGACGTATACAATACTATAAGCACAGCATGGCTTTTGAGTCGACTCAAAAGTCACAATGTTGGACCAAGGGGGAGGGAGAAAGGAGACGTATACAATACTATAAGCACAGCATGGCTTTTGAGTCGACTCAAAAGTCACAATGTTGGACCAAGGGGGAGGGAGAAAGGAGACGCATACAATACTATAAGCACAGCATGGCTTTTGAGTCGACTCAAAAGTCACAATGTTGGACCAAGGGGGAGGGAGAAAGGAGACGTATACAATACTATAAGCACAGCATGGCTTTTGAGTCGACTCAAAAGTCACAATGTTGGACCAAGGGGGAGGGAGAAAGGAGACGTATACAATACTATAAGCACAGCATGGCTTTTGAGTCGACTCAAAAGTCACAATGTTGGACCAAGGGGGAGGGAGAAAGGAGACGTATACAATACTATAAGCACAGCATGGCTTTTGAGTCGACTCAAAAGTCACAATGTTGGACCAAGGGGGAGGGAGAAAGGAGACGTATACAATACTATAAGCACAGCATGGCTTTTGAGTCGACTCAAAAGTCACAATGTTGGACCAAGGGGGAGGGAGAAAGGAGACGTATACAATACTATAAGCACAGCATGGCTTTTGAGTCGACTCAAAAGTCACAATGTTGGACCAAGGGGGAGGGAGAAAGGAGACGTATACAATACTATAAGCACAGCATGGCTTTTGAGTCGACTCAAAAGTCA